AGAATTAACACCAATCACAAAAGCAGCTTGAACTTTACAAACGATCAAATGGTCATCCTCCAATTGTCTAAAAACTCAAAGCAATATAATTTGATTTCTACCTTGGTTTTTTCCCTCAAATATTAGAGTTCTTTTTTTTTTTGGTATACCAACTCTAATTACCTCTTTGAAGTGGTGGGCTGATGAGTTTTCAACTTGCTATGTATTGAGGGTCAATTGAGCATGTAATTGATTTACATGTAACCAAAAGACATGTGAATCGTGATCAAATTGTTAATTCACTTTTATGAGTATTTTCATGAAATTATTGTGTTTTTGTAGGGATTTTGACCCATTGAAGGAAAGTCAAGTTGGAGAGCTCACGAGGAAGCAGAAAAAGGAACCTGAAAGAAGCACAAGTTGGCGCCTCAAGTGTCATCACCATGATAGCTCTCTGTATTATCGTGCTCTAAGCGCCAAGCCCCTGATGGATTCCATTCTTCAGCTAAAGCGCCAACATCTCATTTTCTGCGCGCTACTAGCGTGAGCTTGGCGCCAAGAGCGTCCAAACACATCAAGGCCTCTGTTTCACGGCGCTAGGAGGACGTTCAATTTGAAATTCAAATTTTAAACTATGATGATGAGGGTCTGATTGATGATTTGATTAGGAATTCTATGGGGAACTAAAGATATTGCTTCTTCATTATAAAAATGAGGTTTTTGGAAACAGAAAATCACTTTTACAAGTATGGGAAGAAGAAAAGACCAGAGAAATGAGAGTTTTGAGAGATCAAGACGGAGATTGAAAGGAGATTGAAAGAAGATTGAAGCGACGACGTTGTGGAGATCAACCATCATTCCTCCCTTAGTGATTCATCGAGTTTTCCTTTCTTTCTTTGTTTTGTTTAAGCCAGACATGTATGGATAATTTTCACTGTAGTTGGGGATAAGGGTTAGGGTTCTTAATAGACATATTGAGATCTTAATCTAGACAGGGATAAACACCAATTCTTGCATCTTTTAGACATCAACTTAGGAATTGCAAACTTGTAAATTCATCGCGCGTAAGGTTTAACCTAAAAGGAGTTTCTAAGACATTAGGACTTCAATTAGGTTAAAGGGTTAAATAACTAATACATTAAGGATTTAATCAACTATCTCTTTGATGATGAATTATTTGGAACAATAAAGATAGAAATTATTGAATTGAATTGAGTTAAATCGCTTAAAGAAGATTTGAGGAGAAGTAAATCCTAACTGCATTTTTCATTCTTTACTCTCTATTCATCTTTTAATTATTTGAATCATTTTCTTGTATTTAATTGTTTTTGACATTTGTTTTTTTAATTGGCTTTCCATCAATTAAGCGTTATTCTTTTCAACCAACTTTTGATTTGTCCAAATTAAGTGAAATAGTAAAATAGTGCTCGGAACATCTAAATCTCATGAGAACTATACTCTACTCATTTCTTTATTACTTGTACGATCGGTATACTATCGGCATACTTGATGTGATCGCAACATCGCCCCTCGTATCCCCATAAACTTTAACTTTTTGAGCCGACTATAAAACTATCGGAGTTTAATCATAGTTAAAGCTCTTCATCCCTCTTCCTAAAAATATATTTAGTGAGAATTAATTATTGAGCTACACCTGTTGGCTAATATTAGAGTTTTTTTTGTGAATACAAATAAAAATTAAATGCATAATGTAATACAAACAATTCAAAACACGCACCAGTACAGCAAATGTAACAGCTTATATTAGAGTTCTTTTACGCAACGCTTCCACATCCCTCCCGTTGGATGTTTGGTATTCGATATTCTTCAGAATTTTTGAGAATTTAAATTTTAAATTTTTAAATATTATTGTAAACTGAATATAAAAATTATATTTTTAAATATTAAAATTTACGAGTAAAAAAAAATTTCTCCTCAAGGGTTTCCGAATCTGATAATCTCCACTACTATCCAACAACAGTAATCCAATAAAATCATGCCACATGACGCAGTGTGATGAGACTGTTAGGTAGTGTTTGGTTAGGGAGAAATTTTATAATATTAGGGAAATGTAAATACTAGGGATTGGGAGGAAAAGTGAGTTAGATAGGAAAGTTTTAAAAAAGTTGTTTGATTGAGTAAAATTTTACCAGGAAAATTGAATTAAATTTCTGAATGTGTGTTTGGTTGAAGATAAAATATTGATGGAAAAATTTAATGAAATTACGAAACTATCCTCGTAAAACAACCTTGGTTTTATTACAACCTTGGTTTTTTTTTTTCCAATTGAGGAAGACAACATTCCCTATTAGAATATAGAGAAAAGACGCCTCTCTTTGACAAAAAAACATATAAGGATTAGGGAGGATTAGGGGTGTCTGTGATAAGAATCGCAGGGGTAAACTTGTCTGTGATAAAAAATGGTTTTGATTTATCCGGTTTTGAATAACAATTCCACATCTTCAAATGAGTTTCTCAAGAGTGCACTTCTCCAATTTTTGGTCTCTTCCTCCTTTGCTAGCCATCTGGTTTAGATGGGAAAATCAAGTAAAAACTTTCAACCAAACGTGGTAATGACAGATACCCACATGGAGTTCCCCATCAAAATTTTCACTTCTCCCCAACCAAACACCACCTTATAAAAAACAATAAATCCTGAACTTATTGTGTGACCTGTAGCTAGTCTTGGACCTGGTTTTGTTATAGCGGATTATATTTTGTAGCATCCTAGTATTTTATTTTCTAAGGGTGATATTTTAATAAATTAAAAAAGAGTGATCCGTTTACAAACTTACAAATTATATTATGTTTGACTGATAATACTTTACTCAAGAGTATATTATCGATAAGACATAATATAATTTATAAAAATTTGTAAACAAAAAATTTATAAATATAACCTTCCTCTAAATTAAATGTCAAAACTTAACATTTTGATTGTTGTCCTTCAAAATAACTTACAATTAAAGTTTACCAAAAACAAAAACAAAAAAACTTAAAATTAAAATTTTATTGAGATAATTTTTAAAAAGAAAAAATATAAAAAATATCTATACCACATATGGACTAAGTAGAAATTCAAGCATATAAATATAGGAATTTATTTTTCTTATTTTGCGTAAGATAAGAACAATGTTCCTACGCTCACAAAAGAAAGAGAGATGAGAGAAAATAGAAAAAAGAGAAAAAATTTAAAGTGAGTCTCACATAAGATTTGTTTGTGTATGGAGATTGTTTTATCTTACGTAACATAAGAAAAACAATCCCCATAAATATACATAAAAGAAATATTTTATTGTTTTTAATATTTTTTATAAAAATTAAAAAACAATGTTATGTTTTTAAAATTATAATGAAAATATAATTATTTTTGTACTTCGTTTAAAAATACATATAATATTACAGTAATGGCTTTACTTAGAAAATTATAAAATTATGTAAAATAATTATAAAATAAATTAAAAGAAATCACATACTCTGTAACTTTTTTACCTGACTAACTGTTTAGACATTCCCACAGTATTTTAATTATAAAATAATTAAAAGAAATTATTTTAACTGTTTAGACATAATTAAAATAATTATGTAGGCCCACAAAGCATTCAATAGTACACGCTTGCACCCAACACAAGACAATCCACACCAACACCAAGAAATAAAAGAAGCCTCTGTCTTCCCCATCCCCTCCCCATAAAGTAAAAGAAGATGCCCAATTTCGAGGATCGTTTCCATACATACTAATATTTTCATATAAAATTAAGAAAAAAATTATTCTAATTCTGTATCAGATAAATTTTTTTTCTTGCATATCCTTAGATAATTATATCATTTTTTTTTAGGTGATGAAATTTACAAATTTGTCTCTTATAATATAAGATAATTTATCTTTTTTAACATGATATTAATAAAATCTTAAAATTAATAGATATTAAAATATATTTTTTATTAAAAAATGTGTGAAATTTTTATTAAAATTCACACAAATAATTATTATTACCTATCCAACATTCATCATCCCTAGATTATAGACAAGACAAGACAAAAAGGACTTAAAAAAAAAAAAACATCTTTCGAGATGTTCATGGTATTTACAGAAGCAATTTGTGAGGAAAAAGTTCCACAAAGGAGAACAATCAATCAAACCCAACTCCAACGTTCTAACAAGCACTTGAAAATGCTACTAGAATCGAAAACATGCTCATGTGATTTAGGTAATATTTGGTTCGGCAGAAATTATTTTTAAATGTAATTGATAGAAAAATGATTGGAAAATGAGTTTGATAAAAAAAATGTAAATAAATTTGTTTGGTTGACCCAAATATTACCAGAGAAATTTATTTAAATAGGCAAAATCTATGTTCGGGAGAAACTTTGCACCTGTTTTTTCACTTCCCCAGTCATCTCAAAATATCACATCTCAAGTGATATTCTGTAACAGTGAATTTCATCCAAAAATCAACACAAAATTCATTTTCCCATCTATCCTATTTGTCTGGTATTTTTGAAAAAACCTGAACCAAACATGGTATTTTCCAATATCCACCTACATTTTTCCATCAATCCTAAAATAAACCTTCAACCAAACACTACCTCAGGGATATAGATTTCTTATGAAAAAAAAAATATGATCATGTGGGCATTCATAATTATACAGAAGTACATTAAAAGAAAAATTACTCAAATTTATAATTATAAAATGGGGTTTTCGTTTATCTTTTAAAATGACATAGTAAAATTTTTTACACCCACAATATTTTTTGGGCCCGTATTTTTTGAAGTAAAAAAAAAAACTAATACACAAAAAACGAACGAATCTCAATAACATGACACGATCACTTATCCTACAACATAACTCTTATAAAACTCTTATAAAATCATTAATTCGCCTTTTTATGGTGTTGTTATCTTTTCACGTCACCTTATCTTATTTTTTTATTTTTTTTTCACGGAAGATATATATTCTATTTCCGTGATTTAGAAATTAAAAAAAAAAAACTTCATAATTAACATGTTTTCAAAATCTACAGAAAAATAAAGCACTCTAACGAAACATGTGGGTTCTCAAGCGACTCTTCCAATGGAACGTCGTCGTTTTTCTCCCCAACCTTTTCACTCCCACCGTTCTCCATCTCCACACCCTTTGCCGGCGGCGGAAATCGCCGACCTTCCCCTCCCGGCGGCCTGAGCTGACTCCGACCATTCCCCGCGCCAACAGTCCTGGCACACGATGGCGACCTCGACCGCCTGCCGGAACCATCGCCGGCATCACGGTGCACCTGATCGGATTCCCTCCGACGAACTGACCGTGAACCCACCGGCGTCTTCTTCTCCGGCGAAGGTTCCGGCATCCTCGCCGGAGACTTGGGCCTTGGTTGTCTCCCGCCGATTCTATAGCCGTCGACGGTGTAAGAACGCTTCCGGGATGCATCAGATTGTGATCGATTACGATTACGGTTCCGAGTTCCCTCTCTGGTGCTTCGCTTACTCGTGGCTTCTTCGTCTTCTCTCTTTTCCGTCACGGTGGCGGTGGTGGTTGTGGAGAAGCTCTCGCTCATGCTGCATGTTTCCGAAATCAGGGCGTGTTCTTCTGAAGCCTCCTCCAATGCTTTGTTGATGGGACCCTTTCTGTGTTGAGTAATTGGCATTTGGGTGTTTATTTCTGCAGTCAAAATTAGAACTTGGGGTTTGGAAATGGGTGTTTCTGAAAGAACCTCTTTCACAGCTTCCTCTTCAAGAGGTGGCGGTGATGGGACTCTGCAGTATGCTTCATGGGTCGCATTCGATTTGGGTATATGGGATCTGAACTGGGGTTGCTGGTTTTTAAGGCCATGTTGGTCTTGCTTAGGGTTGCTGAAGCAACAACCCATTTTGAACTATAATAAGAGATTTTAAGTGGAAGAAACTAGCTTTGGATATTGCATGGCTTGGGTTTGAAAATTTTTATGGAAAGGAAAAAAAAAAGTGTAACGGTTATTGAAATGAAGGCTGGTTTGGGAAATGGGAAGTCAGGAAAATATTGTAAGAGAATGAGGAGGTTAATATGGATAGGAGAGGGAGTGAGAGAGTGAGGCTGAGGGAACCGAGTAAATGTTGGACATGTTTAAATAGCTTTGATCTTGCGTGTGATGAAGGATAAGCATGCAATGGATTTTCCTCTTAACCAAAAAAGTATAAAGGTGTTATGTATTTTGAATTTAATACGTTCCTAAATTTTTAAGTTTAGTTCTTTGAAATATTATGAAACTCGTCTGAATTGTATAGCTCGGTGCATACGGGGAAAGCAGCGTGTTAATATTTTATATAAAACTAAGACTTCAAATATACATAGGAACAACTACTTGTTCGCCGTTCTTTTTCCGTTGATTTGAATAAAATATAATAGGCATACCAGAGACTCAAATACATATAAAAGCTTAATCTCATGAAGGGCCCGGAACTAAGCGCAATGGCCATCATCGCGCGCGCATGACACGACGTGATGTCTCTATCGCGCATGAAATCGCCGTTTGGTATAAACTCCAGGAATAAGAAAGATAACTTAAGAACCAAGGCAAACTCATCGCGCCTTTGAGCTAATGAGCAGAGGACAACACCAGCTCGCCATAACTCTATCAGAATAGCTCAACATTCTGCAGCTCAAACACGGCCAATCAAAGACCAAACCGCCTTATGGAGACGACATCATAACCGCTATATAAGCAAAAGGTACACACCCAGGTACATCTATCTATTTCATTAAGAACATACATACACACCTGCCTTTGATACCATCAGAGTGTCTTCGCAGGTACCTTCCCCATCCGGACTCATCGCGCAAGCAAAGGACAAAAGCATACTGATCCTCAACAACAATTCAAAGCTCAAGACAAAGGACATCATCCACCTCTCAACCGTGTGTGATTTGATCCAACACATATTGGCCAGCCTAAATTGTATTTGGTCTGATCACATAACAATTAGCATGCCCGTTCCATGGCATTTATAAATGCCTTGGATTGTTTTCAATAACACGTTTTTTATAAGTATCAGACGAAAAGATTGTATTAGATTGCATAGAAAAAACTATTATGGTTCTGTTATGGAGTGAGTATTTGAATCTTTGACCTAGCTGTTATTTCAAGTTTCAATGTTTACATAAAGGGAAAAATGTGTTTTATTTATTTTTATTTTTTTTGATAACAAATGTGTTTTATTTTAAAGGATGTAAAGTTGTGTCATTTTAAGAGAGAGAGAAAGAGATAGATAAAAGAGAAGTCAGAGTTGACAAAAAAAATAAAGGTGGGGGTCCTACCTCTTTGTGAGAGTAAAATGATATAAGTTGTGTCATTTAAAAGGATAAACACTTTTCCCTTACATAAATAAGTAATTTTTATTTATATTTCACGTTAAATTGTTATTTTAGAATGAAAGCTGCAAGTAATTATGCTGAAGGCTTGAGTTAAATATCATACTTTTGAAAGATTGGGCTTGAATTTTACAACTTATTATTATTTTCTTGAAAGTGAGTAATAATTTTTTTAATATTTACACCATCCTTAACTCATAGCATTTATTCAAATTATACTTTTTTTACCAAAATAATAAAGGATAAACCAAAAGTTATGTTACATTATGTAACATAACTTTTGATTTATCCATAAATGTCATTTTTTTAAATGTTAATGTTGTCATAGTAACCGTTAGACATTGAACTCATTTTATGACATCCTATTTATGGCTAAGCAACTCAATTTAATTTGGGATACAGACGTGTTTACAAAACTATTTATGTGATTGGGTTTGTAAAAAGGAAAATGTAGTTTGATTTGAAATTGTTATTGCAACCTTTCAACTGGGAAGAATTCAAATTCCAAAATCTCACTCGGAATTTACGAATCATGTGTGGTCAACGCTATTCAATCAAATTAAAATATAATATATTATTCGTCATTTTTTATGCTATTGAATGATAATTAAATTATATCTTACGCTGTTTTAAATAGTTAAAATCTTAACTTCTTAAATGGTTACACAACACTTATTTTTCATTAATTTTATTATTTCAGAATGAGTAGTATTAGCTGCGCAATTATTGGACGCTATGTAAATAAGATTCATTAAAAAATGATCATCTTGTAATTTTATTCAATGTTGCAAAGATTCTGAAATTCTATGCAAGAAACCGAAAAAGTGGAATTCAAAAGGGGTTCTGAAAGTTTACTGAAGAAATTGGAAAAGATGATTCAAAAGTGAAACATGCTGGACAAGGCTGTCATTTTCATGCTAAATAAAGTAACAATGTCAAGCAAACGGGAAAAAAAAAAAAAGATGTATGCCTTTTGAATTGACAATTATGAAAGGTGGTGATTTGATTTTAAACCAACAAAATGAATAATAGATCGATAAAGCTGAAAATACATGAACTAGGGTGGCAATATGGGTTGAGCCCGACGGGTCAACCCGTTAAAATGGGATGGGTTGGGTTGAGATTTTCAACCCACAAACCCACCTCAACCCGCCACGCCTAAAAGTGGGTCAAAACGGGTTCAACCCGTCGCAGGGCGGGTTGACCCACCGGATTTTAAATTTATTTATTTATTTTTTTATTTTCTTACAATTAGGTAGTATTTTATTAGTACTTAAATTTTGGTGATATTCAATTTTTTTTATCTTAGTACTTTCTAGAAAAAATAAAGAATAACAATTTTATTTATGACAAATGTTATCTATTTATAAATTCCTAAAGAATGTTTGACAAATATTAATATACATTTAAGATTGAGACTAAAAAAAATATAGAGAAGTGTGAAATAAAATAAAATAATATTAAAAAAATTCATAAAATATAATTTATTTTTGAATATTAATTAATTTTTTTTTAATTAGCAGGTTGGTGGGTTGACCCGTCAACCCACCAACCCACCATAAAACGGGGTGGTTTCATTTTTACAACCCATATTTTTTGGTGGGTCAACCCGCCCCGCCCCATTTTTGACGGGGCAGGTCAACCCAATTTACCACCCCTAGCATGAACAAACTAGGTGGTTGGTTGTGTTGCATAATATCGAAAGTAATTTCGATGTTTTATAATTGATTTTATGATAATTTATAGAAATAGTACTTTATATATAGAAAAATCCACATATTTTATATCGTTAGATTTGAATTTATACTTATTGAGTCTCAAATCAAAATTTCACACAAAACAAATTCAATCTAATAACTTTTTATATATCCTTGAATGGTGTTTTTATAATACCATCCTTAGTTATACTTCAAAAGTAAAAGGTTAAATTAAATATTTGATTTGAAATAAAATCAACATTTTCATAACGAAAGCAATTTATAATATTTATATCAATAATTTAAAAATACCTTAGAAACTATTGTTCCAAAATACAGTTTTTTACATCAATCACTAGGGGTGTCAAAACGGGTTGACACGATACGAATTCGACACGACACAAATACATCAACACTAACACGACACGAATTTTTATTCGTGTCATATTCCTCAACACTGACACGACATGAATTTTTTACAAGTTGACACGACACGACACGAATAACACGCAAAATAGGGGTCAAAACGGTAATTGACAAAAAAAAAATTTGAAAAATGGATAGAAATTAAAAAAAGAATAATAAAAAATTTAAAAAATAATTTAAAAAAAATACGGGTCGACACGAACACGACACGAATTTTTTACGTGTCATTTTTCCCAACACGAACACGACACAAATTTTTTTGCGGGTCAACCCGAACACGAATTTTCGTGTCGTGTCGCGGGTCGACCCGCGTGTCAAAACCTATATTGACACCCGTATCAATCACCCACATCCATTAAACGTATTTAAATTAGCTTATTTTACACTCAGAATATATTATAATCAAAATTTAAAATATTTTCTTAAAAAATTATTTTTTTATCAAAATCAAAATCAAAATCAAACATTCTAGATCTCATTGTAGAAAATGTGTAGTGTCCAGAACTTCGAATAATTTGTAAATATGTAGAAACCAGACCTAGACCTAAATCCAGTTATCATGTAACAAATTTAAGCTTCCTACCAAGTACCAACTGTTCTAATACTTGTCTGAATCTGAATATTCAAACCCGACCTACTTATTCTCTCGGTTTCTATTTACATAAAATCGAAATTTGATGTGCAACTTCTTATATAAAAATGGTATACCTATGCTATTATTATTCAAAAACTAATTCAACATTTCGGTGTCAAATATTTACTTTTACAAAATATCAAATACATATTTTTCCTGTACAATCAAATAATTTTAACTATGACTGAAAAGTACGAAAACAATTGTCACTTTTAACTTGACAACATGACCCACCACTTTTACAAACTTTCAACTTATAAGAAACTATTTTAAAATTTTAATTTTTTTTTTTAAATGATCGTACAAACATATAATTAATAAACATTTTTAATATCTGCATCTCTAGCTAAAATTATGATTTTGTGAAGCTGACCATCAACGAGAACTGAAGAAAATCCTGAGTGGATATTTCAACATGAAAACATGTGATCAGTTAGTTCAATTATGATCCACAATCAAGACCAAGAACCCCACCAAGATTTGCCCGACCTAGCATTCTACCACGATATACGATGGCCCAAGATACAACGCAGACTCCTCTAGTTCAAATGGACCACCAAACTTTCTATATTTCATTAGATTTTAAATGCTTGAGGAATGCATTGTAGCCGAAAAAGAATTGCTTAAGCATTTCAGCTTTCAAGAAATAGAGTACCAGTCCCCACAGGTCGTTGAAAGACAGACACTAACCAACCTGTCATAAGTCACAACCCAAAAAAAAGATAAAAGAATACCTCACTTCTCTACCAGGCTAAACCACCTTATGATTGTAACGGTAACACTAAACATGGTTTCAGGACAACTTGCCTGCGGCAATATATCTGGTCTTGGTGGTACACTGCTATCAAGTAGTATCAAATTCTATTTTAAATTGCAAGGCAAGTGAGATGAATTAGGATGTCAGCTACCAAATAAACCAAAATTGAGTAGCACTTACAATAACAAACACTTCAATCATATTAAACAGCTTGAAATGATTTCTCAAATAAGAGCTAAAAACTAAATACTTTTCATAACTACAGTAGTTAGTCTAAATTGCACCAATTGAAGAGAACAAAATGAGTTCAAGTAAATGAGAACATATATAATTTAACCTTTGAAATATTCATTTTACAGATAAATCTGAATCAATCCACTCATTTATGTTTGAGTAGGGGAGGGGGCGGAGAAAAAATTGCAGACAGCATAAGCCTGTTTATGGCATTTTACTCATATATTACATGTTGCATGAGCATCAGCACCATGAGGTAATCCTGCGCTCCTTCTTACATAAAATGCACGTTAATAGGGGTGTAAATAAAGAGAATGGGTCAAGAGGCAGATGCAGCCCGATCTGATTCAATCATGGATTTAATATAGAATTCACCTGCCTTGTATGATGATCTCACCATGGGGCCAGATGCTACATATCGAAATCCCTATCACATACAAAGTAGAATTAATCCATCATTCATACCACACGATCAAGTTATAATTAATACTATAAGCAGCCTTAATATATTAGAGTTTTCAACAAATCAACACAATGCCGGATGCAACAATTAAAAGGAAGAAATGTGCCATCATTGTACTCGCATGGTGATGTATAGAATGTTAAGTGTATTGGCAGGCCACCAGCGTGTGCTAATTGCTAAGAATAAGGGAACGACAAGGCTGAATTTATCATGGATTAGCAAGATACAGATTATTTTACTCAAATATCATATGCAAGAATGATGCTGGAAATGATTTTATCATCGGCCTCAACTTTTGAGTAACATATATAAACACTGGCAGGAAGACCAATTGTTTTAAGTTGTATGCTGTGACTCAAATATCTACGTACACTGAGAGAACATACCAAACAACCACCAAAAGATTTTAGTAAATGTACAGAACTGAGATTAAGAATACAAGAACACCAGCAAAATGATGACAACAACAATAGATACTATTATTAATTAATTTTTGTCCAGTAAATGTACATTCCTTTTATTTACAGATAAGAAAAATACAATTACTCAGAACAACTAGAACAAATGCTACAGACTTACCATTTCCATGCCAAGAGTCTGATACTTCTCAAAGGCCTCGGGTGTAATATATTCAGATACTGGCATATGGCGCTTTGAAGGTCTCATATACTGACCAAATGTCATCACATCAACACCAGCTGCTCTCACCTTCTCCATGGTCTTCACAACCTGGTCAGCTGTTTCCCCACAACCTAACATTATTGAAGTCTTGGTGAGGGTTCCAGCAGGAGCATAATCCTTGGCCATCATTAGAACATCCAAAGACTGCTTAAAATTGGCACGGTGATCCCGCACAACATTCTGAAGCTCTTCAACTGTCTCAATATTATGTGCAAAGACATCTAATCCTGATTTGGCAACCCTCTCTACACAGTTAGCATCTCCTCGAAAATCAGGAACTGTTAACAAAAACAGTGCAGCAGCCATCGCAGTAAGAAATTTTGAGTTGCATTTAAAAAGGTTTAAAATTAAGCATAGTCCCCTTGATAATAATCCACCTCAACAAATAGATACCAAGACTGAACCATATGATGAAAATAAGCAAATACAAACTAAACCTTCGAATTTATTCTGTGCCCTATCAACAAGATTTCTTTTTTAATTCTGATTGAAAGCCATACTACTGAAGCAGGAACAGTTCAATAATAAAAAAATTGTCTGTCAAATTCATCAACAGACACAGCACAGGGAATTCGCAATTTAGGTACCCCCTAATTCAACTTGCTATAGCCAATAATTGAAACAGAAATTCACAAAAGATAGTCCTTCCTTTTATATCCATTATCTACAAGCTATAACTATAAACCATATTGATGTAGGATGATAACCAATAGTATTCCTCTTTGGCAGGGTACTCACGTGACTGATAAACTAGAATACTCCTCTGGGGCAGGGTACTCCTCTAACTTGGTTTCAAATACTCTTTGAAGGAAAAGAAATATCAATAATAAATTATGCAAAAAGTCTATCAAATGTTTACACTAACGGTCTATCTATAGATCCAACATAGCCAAACACCCTAATAAGATGATAACTCTATTCTAAGTTGGAATAAGATATTCCAAAGCAGGTTAAAATTCCTAAATAACAAACAATAATAAATAACCCCAAACTGAAAACCTAATTTTAAAATTTAAATTCTTAAACTACGCATGTATTTAATGTCACATATTGATGTTTTTTTTTTTAATGAAAAAGAACCAGGTGCCCACCTAGCAAGATGAGGCTTGGTTGTTGTTTGCTATTTGATAGAACTAGATGTTCACACAAATGACTAATAATCTATTCTCAGAAACTACAAATATTCAAAATGCATACCTAAGGCTTCTATCAGCATATTAGGCTTCAGTGCCTTCAGCTTCTGTACTGTCTCAGTAAAATGACCACTCCCTTGATCAGGTAAATCATCACGGTCAACACTCGTTATAACCACATAATCCAAACCCCACGAGGCAATTGCTTCAGCCACGTTGGTGGGCTCATCAGGGTCAGGTGGTGGAGGAGTCCTTGATGTCTTGACATTGCAAAATCTGAAATTTAACATAAAATAACTAAATGGAAGTGTTCTAGTAAAAAAACTATCCCAGGTATACCTACAACAAGAATTAAGGGTAATTACACTGACCTCTCCTAAATTTAGCGCTTCTTACATCATCCAATACCCCTTTTCTTCGGGAAATTAACCTAACTACCTTGCTTTATTATTTACAAGGGAAAATCATGTAGAAATTGTACAAAAAGTAGGGGAGGTACACGCAGTTTCTCAAATAAAGAAGTGTATCGGGTATTAGAAGATAGGGATGCGTGTGTAATTTCCCAAACAAAAAGGGTGTCGGGTGTAATAACTGCTAACCTTAAGAGAGGTCAATGTAATTACTCCATGTTTTATATTGACCTTTAAAAAACACCTAAGGCAGTACAGGTTCAAACTCAGACAGCAACAATTTTACTTCTTTTAATTAACAGAAGAATTTGATCATAGCTGCAAGCTAGCAACTAGACAAAAGCAGCCACTCCACTCAACTAATCATTGCATGCTTTTCAATGGGCATCATTCATCATAATAAGCCAGTAAACAATTTCCGCATTCCTTAGGACTATACATGAGCACAGCACCCACAGGTTCATACTACATATCATTTATTCATTTCCGCTCGTGAATCGTATCTATTCTATTTATCTATCAAATTAACATACCAAGGGTAACTTAACGCTACCTTTATTTTGTAGAGTAGAGTTCCTAAATCACTATTCAACAACATCATTCCCTCAAAGCCACATTCTAAAAACAAATATATTTCATATAAATTCAGCAACAACAAAAAAAAGTGAAAAAGGAAAGGATAAAAATCATTGGTATATAACCTGCAACCTCGAGTACAAGTGTCTCCGAGAATCATGATAGTGGCGGTGGCAGTTCCAGTCTCGCCGCCGGACCAACACTCGCCCAAATTAGGGCACCTGGCTTCCTCGCAGACCGTGTGAAGCTTCAATTCGCGGAGCTTCTTCTTGATCTGCACGTATTTCTCGCCGCCGGGAATGGATTCCTTCATCCATTTGGGCTTCGGAAGCGGCTTCTTCTTCGTCCCAACCTCCACTGAATACGCGTTGTCGGATTTCAGGGCAATGAATTCCGAGAGCGACGGCGATTCCTCCGCCAGGCGAGCTCGGAGCCCCGCCAGAGTCTGCGGGAATTGCGACGGCAACGCGGTGATGTTGGTGGTGGAAGATGAACAGAAACGCTTAGTGGTGGATTTTAGGTTTCCGGCGACTGTTCTTATCCGCGAATACATCATCTCTCTCTCTCTTCGGGACAATCACAGATCGCGCGCGGAATAGAGACACGCGAGGATGAGGGTGCACGAGAACACCAACTACCCTCAATATGGGCCTAATCATTGGGCCAACTTCTTGTAATTTGGGCCTAATCTTGCTTTGGGTTACACATGGCCCAAACCCTAAATAAACACCCAGTGTGAACTTGCAAAATAAGTGAACTTAGAAGTTAAATACAGACAGACCATAAAACTAAAAACCGAATTAATCCAATCTGTTAGGACTTTGAACATAAGTTGTTAATTTTTTTTTTGGATACAATAATAGTATTGATGATTGAACCTACACTTCATATAAATTACATAAATCTCTCACTAGACCAATCCTAATGGCTTACATCAGTTGTTATCCAGAAAAAATAAAAGTTACCTAGATTTTTTTTTTTTTTTTTTTTGGAGATTATCTCCCGGTAATCTCATCAATTCCTTATGGATTAATTTGGAGTTTGGAGTAGGTTCAAGATTAAGTTTTAAACATATCTCAAAGATGGTATTGAGAATGATCGAACACATATTCTCACCCCTACATGTTCAGTTCTCATGCGTCAACTAAGATACCATCATTTAGTAATCTAGATTTATACAATGCAAGATTGCATTTGTTGTTGTAAGCTTTAACTTTTCCCTCGTGATTTTTTCAAGCTTCATGTAGTAGCCTATTTATTAATTTTGGGGATAATTAATATTATGATTTTTTTTTTGTTATAAAGTAAATTTCATTAGTATTCCTCATCACAAAAAGTATAAATCGTCGTTAGCGATACTTTTAGAAGAATATATATATATATATATATATATATATATATATATATAACAATTGTAGTTAGTGGATTTTATTTGAAAATTTGATAGACATCGACTATAGGTAGCCATCAGCCCATCATCACGTGGAGGCGCTACTTGGCGTCAATTTTGCCTTCCTCCTTCAAAGTTCAAAAGCTTGTCCTTTGACACTTTTCGGCACCTCTGGCGCATATATAAAATATAACCCAGTCAACTTCAAAATCTATAAAAATTCCATTGGCTAAGCTGCCAAGATGATAATGAGTTCTAATTGCTATTATCTTCTATTAGTTGTAATTAATGTTATTGCATTTCATTTGTGAAATGAGCCAAGTTTCTCAATAATCCTGTCCAACATAAACCGGTCACGATCATATACAGACTAATTAAATTATTATTCTTCAAGTCTATGTAAGCGTCTTCCAACCGTTGGAAACTTTTAAAAAAATATATATATTTGGACTTCGTTTAGAAAATGGTAGGAAATAATGAGGCCAAGAACGATGATAAGGACATGAGACATGCAATTGCTGTTGCTTTCCTCAAACTTATATTAATTGATATTTATGTACTCCACATTGTTTAAAGTTTAAACTGCAAATGAAAGCAGGAACATGACAACCCTTAGATTTTATTATAAATTTTATCACAAAAATTGCATATTCTTATTAGTTTCATTTTTTTTGTTTAGTCATTAACATGTTCCTACTGGTCGAGCACACAGTTTACATAATTCGTATTCAGAAATATTTCCATAACTATACGTATACCAAATTCTGACTAACTGAAAAAAATGTTATAATTGATAAATGTAATATACATCGCGCATTACACCACCAAAAGTAGCAGCAATGCCATCGGCTTTGATTTGGGGTGTGCATCACAACTTTATTGGAATCATTTTTTTTTTAATTTTTATTTTCGAGAAGAGAAATGGATAGAAAACTCGTTTGGCAAAATCGATTTATTTTTTTATTCCCAGGATGAATTGGTTTAATTTTTGTGCTGGAGAACATAAAAAAGAATTAAAAAATTCTGCTTCTTTGTTCCTCGGCAGAAAATGAGAAACATTTATTTTTCTTAGTCATTCTTCACCACTATCATTATCATCATCACTACCATCATCCTGATACGACCATAGTCACCATCATCTCCGTCACCACCGCCACGACGGCGACGACGATGCCACCGCTACCATCATCGCCACCGCCACCATCATCACCACCACCATGACGATGTCATCGCCACCACCTCCACCCATCACCACCATCACTACCACTACCACCACCACCACCACCAGCACACTACTACCATCACCGTCACCACCACCACCTTCACAACCACCACATTCATCAACGCAGTCACTGCTGTCACCACCACCACCATACCACAACCACCGCCATCGTCATCGCCACCATCACGATGTCACCACTTTCACCACTGTCACCAACCACCACTCTACCATCGCCACAACCACTGCCATCACCACCACCACCATGCCATCACCACCACCACCACCGCCACTATATTCGCAGCCATTGCCACCATCGCCACCACTACCACCACCACTATGCCGCCACCATTACACCACCATCGCCACAACCACTGCTGTCACCACCACCGTCGCCGCTGCCACCACTACACCATATGGAAAGGAAAGTGATGATTCCAAAAAAATTTATGCTTAATAGGAATTATTTTTTATTATATTATTTGTTGTGTTATCAAATGCAATTCTCATTCTCAGAATAAAAATAGAACATGTTATCAAATATAATGAGAGGAATTAATCGAGTGAGAGCTGTAGCTATGAGTGCTACAGATGGTCTAATGAGAGGAATGGAAGTGATTGACATGGGCTCCTCTAAGTGTTCCGGTCGGTGGAACAACTCTTGGACGTATTTTCAATGTACTTGGAGAGTCTATTGATAATTTAGGTCTTGTAGATACTCGCACAGAATCTCCTATTCATAGATCTGTGCCCGCCTTTATACAGTTAGATACAAAATTATCCATTTTTGAAACAGGAATTACAGTAGTAGATCTTTTAGCTCCTTATCGTCGTGGAGGAAAAATAGGACTTTTCGGTGGAGCTGGGGTGGGTAAGACAGTACTCATTATGGAATTGATCAATAACATTGCCAAAGCTCATGGAGGTGTATCTGTATTTGGTGGGGTTGGTGAGCGGACTCGTGAGGGAAATGATCTTTATATGGAAATGAAAGAATCTGGGGTAATTAACGAAAAAATATTGCGGAATCTGATAACTCTCCAAAAGAGAGTTATTTTTGGGCTTAATTGTGATGTTTTGGTGCTATGATTACATATAATTCTCTTGATTTTATATGATTAATGCATGAATTCTATGATTTCATGATTTAATGGAGAATTATGTTAATTATGAGAATTTGGGCATAAATTGGGGTTTTAGAAACATTTAAATGCACTTGTTATTTTACTGCAGGTCGATGCTTTAGCATCAGGAAGCAGTGCTGTAGCAATGGAGATGAGGTCAGCAGTACATACTGTTGACATTAGCACCAGCAAACCATGGATCCAAGCCCAATTTGGTTGATGAAGCTTCTGAACGTGTACGAAAAGATCTGATTTGAAGACGTGCTCAACTTCATCAAGAAATCACAAGATTATCTTCATCAAATCAATGATTACAGATCGGATTCAAAACTGATTTGTAAATATGGAAAGAATCATGTGAGATATTCCATAGCACATGCTGTCAGCTTGACAGCAAAACAGAGTGCCAATCTCAGTCAATCACAAGGCAGCTTTGAGTGATGATTTGCATGGACTGGAAGAGATGATTGAGGCCCAGAATATCAAGTATATAAAGAAACGAACCCTACACATAGAAAAAAGGCTAGGAACGCTACACATGCTTTAGACATTCAATCAAATCCTAGAGAGAGAAAGTGGGGGAAACACATAGAGAGAATTTGAGGGTTCGTTGAGAGAAATCCAAGGAATCAAAGGGTGAGGCTAGGGTTTGGTAGAGAGATCATCAAATCCGGTGAATCCCTGCACTATTCCGGCGGCTGAAGCAAGGATGATGGTAGTGGAGCCTACGGTAGCTGCGAGAGCAGTGCTACAACAACGTCCCTGTTTTCTTTACTTTAGTTTAATGGAATCTTATTCTTTCTTTGTTGTTTCTTCCCACCCAAGTATGAGCTAAATTGTTATGATTGGGTGATAGAGTGCCCTTATTGTAATGTAGTCAGTATTGCTTTAACTTTGTTACATGATTTTCCTTTCAGTTGCTTAATAAAGTGCTTATTTTTATTCTTATTGACTTATCGAGAGAGAGCTACAAGATAATTAGGGTTTAGGCTATAGAGATATAGGTGAACTCAGAAAGTTATTAAGCATTGTGGTTTAACTAAATTAATTAGTTAATTGTGGGTAGAGAGATCATTCACACCACAAAATCAAATGGTACTTGCACTTAATGATTCATAACTATGTTGGCCATAGAGATGTGGGACTTAGTATACATGTAGAGTTGGTGAGAGCCCTTGCATGCACTAGTGTTCTGGTTACTGAATGGATAATTGCTATAGCATTGTTACTGCATTCTGGTGAAATTGCAATATTAGGGAAATTGATCCCAATCTATCTTTAATACTTGAAAAACCTATTTTATTACTGCATTCTTTTAGTTAATTATTAGTTTTATTGTTTAATTAGTCATTAACCTCTTCCAAATTATCTTTGTTACCTTGATTGCTTCAAATTGATCCCAACTTTATAGTTTTCTTCGTAGTAACGATATCTGGACTCACACATCCACTTTATTACTTGTTGACATGTGCACTTGCGTAATGTGTGATTGATAAAGGGGTACACAATTGCACAACAAGTTTTTGGCGCCGTTGCCGGGGAAAACTTATAAAGTTAGTTTCTTTGTGAAGTGATACTTGATCCATTTTCTGTTTGTTTTCAGGTTTTTGCAGGTAGTACATGAACAGTCCTCCTCACTAAACTGAAGTATACTTTGATCCAAAAATTGAAGGAACACTTCAAGCTAGGAAGAGGCAGTAGTGACAGAGCATTGCTACAGCATTACCTGACATGGCAGCAAGAATAGCAGGTTCTGGTGTTGATGGACTAGGTCCAAACCAAGATGAAATCTCAATCAGGGCACATGGAATGCTAGCACTTAACAATCTTCATTCGGCCATTGTGCAACTT